TTTATACTACAGATTATATTATGGCTTAGTATGAGATGGACTGGAATGGAGGAAGGGGGGTGAAAACGGTGCTCTCGTCTCCAGAGCAACGCTCGAGATAAGCGGAAGAAGCTGGCGTATCCCTAAACATTCCAGAAGATAGTGAATAGCTGTGCCTGGGAACTAGTGGTCAGTCTGAGAAGATTTCTGTCGCTGGCTAATAAACCTTGCTGATTGAACCTGCATGGTCTCCAGGAGTTCTTTGAGCTAGGCCTGACTGATTCCTCCGCTTATCTCTTGAGCGTTGCTCTGGAGACGAGAGCACCGTTTTCACCCCCCTTCCTCCATTCCAGTCCATCACATAGTATGATGCATGATTGCAGTTGGAATTATCATTCTTGTGCAATGTTGTCTACTTGGGCAATAGTGTTCTGTAATATATAATTTGGTGTCTTTCCAAATCCTCCTTGGGGATTCAAGAAATTGAAGATGTGCTGCATTCTACTCCCAGCTATGAGAATAAAAATAGGGTAAGCACTAACTACTACTCTATGCTTTTTGCGTGGAGCTAGAGAGAGGATGAATAAAAGAGCAGACACAGAACCTGAATAAGTTAGTATAAGAACTGAAAATAGAGCTGAATAAAATCCTAGAGCTGAAAAAGTTAAGATTTTTTTTTATTATGGATTGGAAGAATTGGTAATTTTTTCTTTTCATATCATAAAGAAAAGATAGTCCTTAAAATGTTCCCTCCTTTTAGTGGGATATGACAACATAAATCCCCTGGGTAATATACAATCTAATGAACTAGCTTAATTTAACCCCACTAAATATAGCTCTACATAATTCAAAGGAAATATATAGGATCAGGGCTAGGCTCTGGAAAAACAGATTAAAGAAAAGAAAATTGATAATGGAAAGAAATCATTTATGAATTTTAAAAATTGATTTAATTATTATATTGGGTCAGTACGTACATTTTGTTAATAAATAATAAAAAGTGAAAAGAACTGAAGAAGCAACATGAAAAATATATGAAATACTGTAACCCATTAGTCTCCATTATTTAGGATATGGTAAAGTGAGATGGCTGTCAAACCAAATTTTCTTGGATTAGATGTGGCACGTGAGTTGCTTATAGATTCAAGAAACTTCATAATATTGTAATTTGCACGCTTTCTGTTATGAAGATAATTTTACTTGTGATAGAATCAGTTCTATTGTATCCCTATGCACAGAAACCAGTTAATCTACCACTATCATTTTTATACTGTAAGACATTTCAAAAGCCTTTATTTTTCTGAAAACATAGGAAAAATTCTCCCAAAACACCTCTACCCAATGCAAATATAAGTGGAGGAAGGCCAGATAGCAAAGCCTCAAATTATTTTATAGCCCTTGATGCAACTATTGAAAATCTTCAGGAAAGAACACAGCATCTAATTGACAAGATTAATGAAAACAGGAAGAAAGACCATGTACTCATGAACAGCTTCAGAGAAAGTCTTCTGTTGAAGGTAAAACAGGAACAAATCTGGTGGTGGTAAAATGCAGGAGTTTTGAGAAACAGGAAATAATTATTACATTCAATTTTACAAATTATTCCAAAGAGCTAGCTCCTAAAAGTGAGAGCCTAATTTTTCAAATACCCTGGAAAAAGTAAACTAAATTCACCATGAATGTATGCTGTACTTTCTACTCCTTTCCTAATCTTTGTTCGTAATACCTCCAACTGATTTTCTTTTGCTTGCCCTGAAATACTATTCTCACATGCCACTATTTACCTGTTATCACATGCTATTCTTAATAATCTTGTTACTTTGTCTTTTCCACATAAATTTAGTTAACTTTCATTCATTTTCTCAATTATCTTTCTGCTTTTAATCAAAGCAGTGGCAGCACCTAGCCAACTTGGGTGAACTTGAAAAAATTAAGCATGATCTGACCTGGTTAGAACTTGGAGAGGAAATCACCAGGAAATTATCTGGCTGTAGATCAGACTGGTAAATCTTAAAAAAATAGGCATATAAACATTTTCATATTCAAAATAGCTGCTTTGACTTTGGATGGGCTGTTCCAACCTAATGGGAAGTTTCTGATGTTGTTGTGGTATTCCCAAACTTGAAGCATCTCTTTTGAAGTTGGAACCTTCTGGAACTATTGGCAAGGTGAGAACTGCTCTTTCCAGTTTGAATTCAAAATGTTTCATATGCTATTTAAAAAAAAAATCCCAGCAGAAATTAGTAGCAATAACTACTTCTGTATTTTTGCCAAGAAAGCAACATGAACCCCCCACCTAAGAGTCAAGCTGAATTTGAGGGAGCTTACCTGTTTTTATGTTTTATTACCTGCTCCTAGAATATTTCTAGCCATTGTCACTCCTTCCCTTTCCCTCTACTTATTCCATCTGGTGCATTTCCTCCATTTTTAACCCCTTTCTTCTCCCAACTTACATATTTTGATATTTTGCTTTAAAGACTGTGTAATGTCTTAGAGAGCCATATGGGGCAAAAAGTGGGCTATCCCTCAAAACTGCAAATACATATAATTTCCATTAAAATGTATACTCTTTAAATATTCAAAGACAGAATATTAAATCAATAGTATTTCGCTCAATCTATTACAAATATATATTAAATATATATTAAAGGCTCTTGCTTTGTGTTTTGATGCTAATATTTCCTGTCAAAGGAACCTTAATCACAGCAAATCCATCTGTTTTTCTAATATATTTATTATTTTTAACTTCCTCCAGCTCGAGAAAAGATTCAAACACTGTTTTTATATAAATGCCCCCTCCTTTCCATAGGAAAGTTATAAACTTCAATAGGATATGAATTGCTTATTAGTTTGGACAACTTCAGAAATTATTTTAAAACTGGTTTCCCTTTAAGATTCTAGTATTACACACTGTGGCTTCTTTGTTAATATTCTGTATTCTTACAACTCAGTGTTATGGTCCAATAAAGTTGGACTTTGCTAAGCAGTATTTCCACAGTTTAAGTAATTTTCTTTATGAATTCTATATCTCACCTTTCCACCAAACATAATACAGTGGACAACAATATAGTAAAATATCCTTAACATTCAACAATTAAAAATAAAAATATGTAAAGAAATTGCAGCATTCTCTATTGTAGCTCAACATTGTAGTAAGCAGGAAAAACACATCACAACAGTAATGGTAAAAGCAGGAGAGCTGCAAGGGCAATTATACGCTCACTACAATATCGACCTGGATTCTAACTTAGTAACTATTAGAGCTATGCACACATCACAAAGGAATCAGAAAATGGCTTGCTTCGTCTTTGATCTGAGCTACTTCACCTCTCCTTAGGCAGCCTAGGTCCCCGGTGATCACCATATTGATGCCGAACTTAGTGCAAACACCTGATTGGCATAGCACACTGTAGCCCAGTGTCAAGCAATCTGCCAGTCTTGTGAATGTTTGAAGCATGCACAACCCAGTTGTTCCAGCTTGCTGTATTCTTCATACTTCCTCACCAGATTTGTCATTACATAAGCAATGTATAAACAGTTACTCAAACTGTCATTTATTACAAGTGGACATATTTATTACTATTTAGAACCAAAAGTAGGCAAAGAAGTCTGCCGAGTTCAGTTTAACTTTTTGTTTCTTTTTCTCCCCAAAAGGTTTCAAGCTTGGCAGAGAAATTGGAGGAAAGTGTATTTCCTGTTTATGATCATAATAACAAGCTTATTCAGGATAAGCTGCAAGAGCTTTCTGAGATCATGGAGAGGATCAGACAGATTGAAACTGAACTCAGGCAGGTCTGTCATACTGTGGAGATGATGTATAAAGACCTGTGTGGTCAGTCTGAACTGTGATTACATGGGAAAAAATAAAATAAGGGAGGGGGAAAGAATACGATAAAAAAGAAAAAAAAATCTGTGTGTCAGTAAGTAGTAAACTAAAGCCTTTGAATTGCAAAATGGCACCCAAATCTATTCTATTCGTATGTAAGTTTATTTTCAAGCACTTTTTTCAGGCAGGTCTGTCATACTGTGGAGATGATGTATAAAGACCTGTGTGGTCAGTCTGAACTGTGATTACATGGGAAAAAATAAAATAAGGGAGGGGGAAAGAATACGATAAAAAAGAAAAAAAAATCTGTGTGTCAGTAAGTAGTAAACTAAAGCCTTTGAATTGCAAAATGGCACCCAAATCTATTCTATTCGTATGTAAGTTTATTTTCAAGCACTTTTTTCAGTTCTTCATTACTCATTTGCAAATGAGTCACCTTCTAGTACATAATCTCAATAAAATTACAATTATATTAGTATACTATAATTGACTTTCTTTTCAAAAAGTTTGAACCATTACCAGTGCTTAGGGAGGTATAAAATAAACAAATGCCCTAGCAAATGTAGTCAGTGCATAGGAATGTGGTACTCAATTGCTCTGTCTCTCTTTTCCTTTTCTCATTCCATATAATGGACAGTTTCAGCAAAGCAGATCCTTCTTGGGCTGAGTTCCTTTAGTTTGTAATAGACTGTAATAGAGCCCAATCAGAATGTGCTATTGGGGAATCTCTTTGAGAGTCATTACAACAAGCCTTTGGTCAAGAACATGAAGTGCTACCAGGGGAATTTAGATCTGTCATCACTGACTGGATAAAACATCTATAGGTACTCAGCTGAAAGTCTCAGATTTATAGTATGAAAGTACAAGAAAAAAAGTAGCATCTATAAAGATAAGTTAGGACACAGAAGATATCCAGTGCTATCTCACTGAGAAGAGAAATGAATATTATTTAAAATTTGGTAAACATTTCTACTTGGAACATAAATGTTCATAAGTGCACCATAAACCTCAGAAGTAAAAAAAAAAATCTGTTGGTATTTCTTTTTTTATTATTGTCTGTGCTGTACTTTCTTTCAGAATTGATTTTCCCCCCCCTCAGTTATACACTAATGTCAGTGCTAGGCAGTACAGTATGCTGTGGTAAGCCACAACGGAAACTTTTCATATCTGTCCTTTTAATTAGAAACATCATTACATTTTTGTCCCTGCATTTGCATCCTATTTAGTGCTGCTGAAGCATTACAAATAACTGACTTCTTAGTTCATGGTTGCACAACTTTTCTTGGGCTAACTGCTTTACTTCAACTTTGAATGGTATACTGAGAGCTCCACTCCAAAAATCAGGGATAAGGAAGTTGTGGGGCCAGGATAAAAAAAAAAAAAGATTACATTTAGGTTGTCTTTAATCATTATTTTTTCCTTTTCACAATGTGGTGGCAGTATTTGGTGGTTTCTGGGGCCTACATCCAAGGCTCAGGGATTGGACTTAGAATCTAATGTCTTATACCCCTCATTGTTCCTTAATCTAACAGTTCTGTGTTGGAAAATAAAATTAGTTACTGGTTCTCTCAGTACATAGATTAAACAAACAAAACCCTCAACATACTAAGAAACACTTAAAAAGTCATACTGCATAATAAAGCACATAAAACAGAGAATTAAGAATCTGAATATACATTACATAAGAATCTTGATGATAGGGACAAATTTGCTGGATTATACATATGTTAAGTGTCATATGAAATCACAAAGTTTCCAGCCAATTGCAAAACATAGCTCAACATCACTGATCTTGGAATACCACGTATCAGTTTTCAAGCCACACCCCCTACTATGCTATGTCTAAATTCTAGCACTAAGAACTCAGAATTGCCGCAGCTCCACTCATTATTTTCTGAATTCTTAACCACAGCAACAGAGGTGTAACAGCCAAAAGCTGCAAGCAGCATTTTACTGCTTTAAACAAAGGCAATCTCAGTGTTTTCTTACAAGGATAGCGACAGGACTCAATGCCCTTGGTATAGTAAATGGACAGGGGTCACTGGAACTCACAGTCTCCTTGGTAGAAACAGTCTGTTTTCGGAAACTTAACCTCTATCTAAGCAGTTAAGTAATTTTAAGTGCTAGTAAAGATGTGAAAGAGCTATTCACAGGAAAGGTTGGTTTTCTGTGGCCATTAACATTAGCATATCAGGTCTTCATCTAATCACCTTACCCCAAACTCCTGTTGGAAATTCATCACATTAAATTTATTTTTGAAAGAGCAAAGAGGAACATATTCAAAAGTGCAAAGGACCCAGCTGAAATAGGTTAGCACTCCATCAAAAATGTATTCTGATGTTTAAAAAAAAAAATCAAAATCTTTATTCAACAGTGTCAATGAAGGCACTAAAAAACAACAGCCAGTTAAGTCACAGGATAGGTAGTAAATTCTGATTTTCATCTTCTGTGTTTGCAAGTATTATAGGTTCCCTCTTACACAAAAAACTAAAACCTTGGATTTTTTAAAACTATAAATTGTTGATTACCTACACTGGTAAAGACCTCAAGGCTCTGACCGGATCCTGGAGCAGCAGTGAGCTTTGAAGAATCAAATACCATCAGCTACATACCAAAACAGTTTGCCCCCAAAACAACTGGGCAATTCCAAAATACTATTATTTCCTAGACCATAGCATTACCCTACTACCAATTAGAAAAACTGTTTTTCCTTTGGCACAATGCAGCACTTTTAATTTCTTTCTGCACTTCTGGTGAACAACTGAGATTTTTTAAATGCCTGATTTGTTTCAGCTTACAAATAATTGAGTTGAGCTGAATAAAATAACTTGATCAGAGTCTGGTGAGCAGAAGCAGTCATGCTCAGCTTATAAAGATATTGCAGCATCATAAACCATCTCAAGTGATGTTCCCACACTGGAATCATGTGGAGCAAAACTGAAGTCTGGAGAAATGTATTTATTTCCCAACTGTGAAAGCCTGAAGTCCAGTGATAGCTCTGCCAAGGATGAGTGCGTGGATATCATGAGTCCCTGAAGGCAAAAAGGGGGGAAAATGTTAGAATTGTTTATTTTAAAAAAAATTATGAATTATCCCCTGAAACTGATATCAATACATAAATGAAGCAAAATAATACAACACAAGTTTCTGAATAGTAGGTTTGCTAGGCACAATCATAACCCCATTTTACCTTCGTAGGTGTTGACTGCCTCCAGATTCATGACATGCCTAATAACATGATATTCATCTGCAATTCCGTTGCCCCCAAGCATGTCACGAGCTTGCCGGGCAATTTCTAGTGCTTTCCCACAGGAATTCCGCTTCAGCATAGAGATCATCTCAGGAGTTGCCCTGGGAACACAGGACAAATGCTAGAATGAAACGAGGATTGAAAGGGTGTAGGTTCCTAGGCTTTCATACAAAATAGATAATGTCAAGTTAGATGCGACAGGAATCACACTTAGTGTAACACCTTTTTAAACAAATTAACTGTTGTGGGGCAAAGTATTCAGGAAAGGTGAGCACTCCCCTCCCTGAAAATCATCAGACATAAATCTCCCTGCCTCTCCCCTATTAGCTCTAGAAAGAAACTCAGTGGCACCAATGGGAGATTTCTTTCTACCACCACAGCATTTTCATTGGGATTATGATGAAAAAGAAAAGAATGGCAATAACTACCCACATCTTGTGGTCTGACAATCTTTCTTCCTGCTATTAACTGGTTTTAAAAGCACAGACTTGAGCATTGCATTGTCAGTCTTCCTTTCTTAGTAGGCTCAAGCTTAGTTGCAGCTTCCCAGGCACTTAACACAGAATATTAAATAGCTGATTGTCCTCCGAGAGATGAAGCTGCAGCTCCTTTTTATACTCTCTTAAGCTTAAACTCAACTTCTTTTTCTCCCTCCCTTCCTGTAGCTTAATGGAGACCTTGCTTTTCCTCATGCCTGGTATAAAATGGTAATGGATTACTGTATTTTGAGTATTTCTACCCTGGGAAACTTTAGATCCTAACCTATGTCCAATACCCATCTACATTGGGCTAGTTCCAGATGTGTGCCAACTGCAGCAAAACTGATCTATGTGTACAGCACAGTGAGTAGAAGCCATCAATCAATCAAACCAATCAAATCTTGTTATGGTCAAAGACCAGCATAAAGTAGAAACATTTTTTTATTGCCTCACCCTGCAACATTGGGAGGAAACCACAAAAAAACTGCAATTCATAGGTTAAAAAAATGAGAACAACTTTCTAACTCAATCCTCTCTTTTATCTGTCTCTCTCCAACAGAGAGGTACTGATCTTTTAAAGTGATTCCCCAGATACAAAGTGAAGTAATGCAGTTTGTTTTATCATCCCATGATTTTTCATCTAACTGAACCTCCCCATGAGAAAAAGAAGTCACTGTGCACAAATTCTGCTTTTAATCACACACACAAATATATGCCTACTTGTCTTCATCTTTTAAGCGCCCCAGCTGTAGACAAGCCTGTAAGCCAATAGTGATCTCTGTGAGCATGTCAGCCAACTTCTTCTGGATCAATTGGTTTCTTGCCAAAGGAACTCTGAACTGGATTCTAGGATGAATGGATGAGATAATTCAACTTAAACCATTGTGCAGGAATAGTAAAAAAAAAAGAAAAAAGAAAAGGAGTTGAAAAAATGCTGGAAGCATCTGGAGGATCACCACGTAGACTGATACTAGAAGCTTTCAAGCATGTAAAGTTCATTTTAAAGAAGAATTTAGATATAACAGGCATAACAAAGGCCACATGGAATAGGATAAAGTCATTTCTGTATCCTGTGAGATGCAAACTCAGAAAAAGTGGTGGAGACTCAGAGAAACTTGGTGGGGACTTTGGAGTCATATACTGAGCTGAGTCATTTGCATACAATCAAGCAAACTAGATATATTAAAAGTGACACAATACTCTACAAAATCATTTCTGGCAACAAAATCCAGCCTCAAGTGTGAGTTAGAACTGGAGATATGCTGTTGTCACTTTAATTAATGTACTTGGGAATTATGAAAAATTATGGAGACATCTAAATCTGAAACTGCAATTGCTCCTATTATACATTCCAGTGACCCTAAATATGTGCCCTAGAACAAGTGGTCATGGAACTGTACAAATGGAAACCATCCATGCATAATCTTGAGTGGTACCCTGGGGACCTAGGGCAAAGCAGAAGAATTGTTTGAATCAAAGAGAAAATGCTTGTGTGGTTGTGGAAAATTACTATGGAAAACATTTGGTAAAAAAGAAACTGAAAAGTGAACTGTACAGAATTAATCCTATTAAAAATCCCTGAGATGTAACTAATGAGTTACATATTAAAAGTTAAGAAAGATACCATCAACTTGAAAAGGTCACTAGACTGGTCAGTGAGCTGTGTTAAGAAGAAAAATGTAGAAGAAAACAAAATCTTCAGAAAACAGAAGTATAGCCCAAATAGGAGCATGAAAAGGAACACAACTCTTGCAGAAAAGAAAAATAAAGCAACAACATGGGATTCAAAAAGGATTTGGAGGAGCATATTATCAATGGCATTAAGAGCAACAACAAGAATTATTTAAACAGGTGGATCATTGTATAGTAGAGACTAAGGAAATTGCAGAAAAGCTGAATTATTTACAATTGACTTCACTGAAGAAAATGTAGGCTAGACACCCATGCCTTAACTGCTACCTTCAGGAGGCAAATCTGAATAACTGCCACAAATAGCAGTGTTAAGTGAAATTCTAGACATTACTGACAAATAAAAAAAAACAAATCACCAAATCTAGATGCTATTTTCAGAATTTTTAAAGAACAGAAATGTGAAACTGTTGATTTTCTGACAAATATATGCAAAATCTGTGGAATAATATAAATCTTAGGGTCCTCTGGGAACGTTTTGGGATCCCAATTTTTTTTAACCCATGCAAATGAACGACAAACTGGTCAAGTTTGCTGAAAATACAAAATTATATTTTTCATAGTTAAAAAAAGGGATAGCAAAGAGCTGCAGATTTATTTATCCCAATTTGTTATTACAGTAAGCTCTTGATTTACAGGACGTCCGTTTAGCAGACTTCAAATTTAATGGACAAAATCTGCTGGATTCAAATGGCTGTTACAATTGGCATCACAACAGCCTAGACTGTTGCTCACTTTTACCTCTCCCTTTACTGACTCTGGAAGCTCCTCTGGCTCCTACACTGGCTCAGTCCATAAAGCTGGCTCTGGCTCCTACACTGGCTCAGTTCATAGAGCATTCCCAGGCTCTGTTCTTCAGCTTCTGTAAAACCTCTCACCTATGGCTCATCTTCCAGATACTGATCTACCAAGTTTATCTTTGTTGGAGTCATTTTTGACTATAGCACTAGCACTCAAATGCCTGCAGCTTATGCTGTCTTTTGTTCCTTGGCTACAGCTCAATTCCCTTTTTCCTTTAAATTCTTGGCCCATTTGCTTTAACAGACACCCTTTCCCACGTTAGAACTTTAAATCAAGGATTTATTGTATTACAATAGTAAATGGACACTAATTAGATTTGAGAGCCAGTTGGATGTAGTAGTTAAGCTGCTGGACTAGAAATTGGGAGACTGTGAGTTCTAGTCTACCCTTAGGCATGAAAGCCGGCTGGGTGACTTGGGGCCAGTCCCTCTCTCTTGGTCTAACTCATTTCACAGGACCGTTGTTGTGGAGAAAATAGGAGGCAGGAGCATTATATATGCTGCCTTGAATTGTACAACGTAAAGGCAGGATGTAAATCTAATAATAAATAAATAAAAATATAAGCAAGTGAAAAGTGATACAGATTAAGGCTAAATACCCAAATTTCACAAATGGGCTGGAGGTCTCTGACAAGAGACGAATCTTGGAATTATAATAGAATTCCATAATAGAATAGAAACTATACTTCAGAAAGGGCATTACGGAACCTGAAAATATACAAGAAAGGGGTAGCTAAAATGATCAAGCCCCTAAAAGAAAGAACTATTATAAGGAACACAGTGCTAAATTAGAATCCAAAATGATTCTTCTGTTTAGTTGAATAATACTAGTTCTACAGAAATCTACCCAATTAATGCTATTTAAAACAATAATTATACTTGGTGGCTGTGAATCATGCCCTAAATGTTGCTGTATCAGGTCTAAGAGATGTAAGCAAACTCTTCCATATTTAAAAAAAAGAAGGGCCCCTTAAGCTATTGCCAGTTGAATGGGGCAGAGGAAAATTCATGCCTTGTATTGAATCTCAGATGATGTCAGGCAAGCTCCCTGAATGTAAGATATGGGTGTACCAGCAAGAAGTAGATATACAACCTGCAAAACTCTCACTGGTTTCTTAGTCCTGAAATTCTCTATACACTAAATCGTGTGTATTAAAAATATTATTTTTAAAATCTGAAAGTACAGACATGCCAGCTTTTGTATTCTGCCAATCCTGGACAGACTTCATCCGCAGAAGCATGATGAAACCTCAATAACCCACATAATGTCTATTGTATCAAAGTGTTGCTGTTAGAGTCCATGAAATATAAATATAATTTATTATTTCATGGATCTCCTTTCATCCAGTACATCCTCAGCAAAACTGGCATTGCTGGACAACTTTTTTCAAATCTGAGCTCAGTCAAGGATGCACAGTATGGTCTTAAAACAAAGCTCACAATCTCTTCCACATGACTGACATCATGGGATCGTATCACAATCACAATGGTAGGGTAAATGAAATATTAAGGATACCTACATATTAGTATGTAACAGGTCAAAAACTCACGTGAGTAGATAAATGGGTACTCTCACTCCGGTGGGAGGAAAAATGCGCGTGGGGGCT